TCGCAGAGCCTAAACTCTGAGAATTTATTCAGGTACTGGGCAGTTACAAGCATTCGTGGTGTTTGAGTACCCTTTTCGAGTAGGAAAAAGCCAGCTGTCAGGCTTGTGATACAGCTTCAATTTGGGGAATGGCGAGTCTAGAGATCGGAACGAAATTCATTTTAGAGGAAGTAGATTGGTCATTTGGGTTAAATGACGGGAATAACCCTAGCCACTCCTGTTGTGAAGCATTATAGCTAGCATTTCATCCTACCTAGTTATAACTCAACATCATCACTCCTCCCAGCCCCTATTGTACTACAACAATAAGGTTATTGTACATGCATTTCCCCCAAAGAAGGCTCGAACACTTAACGCAAGCTTCGTTAACGCATTTGTTACCAAGCATGTACCACAAAACCAACTAAAGGTTGTTTTTGTTTAATGAGCTGAATGTATCATAAGCAAATGAGGAATTTAGCTGCTTTGGCTAATTGACTGCTATTACTACGGCTTAAAATGCCATTGATCTACTAGCCTTCAAAAGGAGGAAAAAAATACTTTAGAATTTTTATTTTGGAAAAAATTAGCAGCACTAACTGGCATTTGCTGGTATACTGAGACAGCAGCAAGGCTTGGTTTTTTACACCACTACCTAGGTATCCACAACTCTGGCTGGTCCGGGTGGCTCACGGTGGTTCGACAAGTCCTTCAGCCTTCTGGTCGATCGGAGTGGTACGGCAGCACTCAACTTCGATTGCGGTTGGACTGACGCCTCCACCGCTCTTCGCTTCGCGGAGAGCATTTTCAGGGACTCTGAGACCCGCCCCTCCGCTGATCCCTGGCTCCTCGATTCTCCTCACAGGTATGTGAACCAGGGTTTACCAATTATTCTTTTCTTTCCAGGTTTTCTTCACATCTTAAGATATTGTGGGACCGTGTTTAGGGCAAATCAGGACTTTTAGTTCCAAAGTTACATTTCAAGGGGGGGGAGAGGGAATGGTATATTTTGAGTTGGGTTTGGCCAATGTATGAAAAACGACTTTGTCGGCTAGCCCTTCAAGGACAGTCTACTGGGCAGGTTAAAAGCGAAGGGCTATTTCGCCACCCAGTGGACACCGACTTTTTTGTCTCTTTTGGGAATTTGCGACAATTTTTGCGTAGATTATCCAGCATCAGACATTCTAATCGCTGAATGCTCACAAGAATGATGATCAGGACTGTGGGGGTAAAGGACAGGACCACCACGAGGACAATTGTTACCGATGGTACTGTATTTTATGTATCATACGGTTGAGCACCTGATCCCCTTTACTATGGCGTATCGTACTGTGCTTACAGTCTTCTGCAGACTGGAGTATGTGTCCGTGGATTCAGGTTTCACGTCATGATTTTCGCCGCCAAGACACCTGGTTCACCGCCCATCAAACGTTACATGTGAGTACTCCCTAGTGTTGGTGCTCACGCCTGACATGTGAGCCGACCACTGGTGCGAGTGGTAATGGGAGCGACTCAGTACCTACAGACGAATGTTGTACTGCCATGGTGGCATTCTTTCTTGAAGGTGAAACTGCAACATCAAGAGTCACACTTGAGCTTTAGCGTGCCTCGCATAGGCTTCTGTTTGGACTTGTGTTTTGTGAATCATGGGTTCTCATCTTTCTAAAATGATGCTCGAGTCATATTTTATGAAAATTTTTCTCGAAAAACAGCTTTATTCTTTTTCCTTACAAGCGTTTTACCAACACGACGACCATTCGTCCGTTACAAACCTTACATCAGACCAATCGACAATCCTGTAATAATTGATCATTGAATTGCGAATAGTTTATGCTGGTCTACATCTTAAACTCTCTGTAAACTCATTTAATTTAATGAAATTATGGTTTTTCAGTGTCTTTTTTGTTTCTACTGGGGTAGACTTACGAAACTTGACCTTGTGATCAATGGGGGTTTCCATTTACTCTTCAATCGAATCAAGTAGATTTGCAAATGAATCTAGTTGCATCCTGTCATATCCTCTCTTTTGAACGCACACAAACCGTATTTGATGCCTTTTGCCTGTTACTTTTCCCCCACTTCAAAATTGTATAAATTACTTGATTGTTTCCCACCATCCTCCATCTGATTCGTTTCCGATTTTCTGTTTTTGGATAGATTCTTTCTTTGTCATCTCCTGCCCTCTTTTTTGTCTTCGTTATCGTTCATCAGTCCTACCCATCTCCTTCATTGTTAGTACCATCACCTGAATTAGTTTTCTGGGCTCTCCAGTTGTAAACACTTGAAGGATTAGAGGCGGATTTGTTTCACGGAACATGTATATCAAAGCACCCACGAAGCATCTGGTGGCCTATGAATTCTAGGGACTAAATATAAGAATTTTTAAGATATAGACTGACATCCTAGATCGTTCCTGACCATTGGAACATTCGTGTGGGGAAATTTCACCGAATTTTTGCTTCTTCCTAATTCCTTAATTGCAATGACAGGAAACATCTACAAATACTCGACAGCTATGCGGTGTGGAAAATTAGGACTAACTCCACGCTTATTTTGCACCAGCACTAATAAACTGTTGGAACGTGCTCAAGGGCCGGATGGATGTCCGAAGCGCACTTGTGCGGTGTCTTTGGCCGTCACCGGGGTCGAACAAACTGAGATCGGGGTCAGACGCAAGCGTGACCAGGAGTCTGATATGTGACATCTTGGCTCCTCGACCCACAAATGGCCATGTTTGGGCATCCATGTTCCGTGCAAACTAATGCCTTTTGAAGCCTGTTTCATCAGACAAAGAGGGCACCGTTTCGATGCGATGATTTTGACTTTTTCAGCATGCAACATCCTGAGGGTTGACTGTTTCTCAGGAAATTGTTGTCGTACACCTTTAATTTTCGTTGAGTTGAGAGGTAAATCTCATCTGTAATTGTTCGGGCTTCAGGAAGTGAAAAATTGCGTCCGCAGTCTACCACATATGTTTACACAAAGCAAAGTCTTGGTGGTGCAGCGATGCGTGCCATCGCTGATCGATGATATGTTGGTTCACTTGAGGCCAAAGTACAAAAGCCGCTTCTCATCACCAGTCGATCCGGCGTCGAGGAATCTAAAAGCTGCGAATTTGCGGAATGGAGGAGAGCGGTAACAGATTGACAGTCATTGTCATTGAAGATTATTGTGAATGCATGAGGTGCGATTGGTTTAGTAACTCTCACCGATTTTCCCCTTGTCGTAGGTGCCAACCAAATGTAGTTCTATCACTTGTATTAATTCATCACTAGTGGGCTCGAGATCAACGTATCAGTGCCGGGCTATGAATCTGCACTCGCATTCACAATGGAGGGTGCACCTTTTTTGATCAAATTAGCAGAGGCCATTTTTCATAAGTTTAAGGTTTTCATCGAATTCTTTGTCTTTAGAAGTGCGACTCGTATCAGTTTAAGTGGAACGGGTGATCTTTAAAGGGTTTTTCTAGTCTCCACCACATGCTTCTCAATGAATTATTGTTTTGGACAAAATACTTTCTCCAGATTGTACTTATACCTACTCGTAAAATACATTTCCATATGAAACAAGAGCTGGTTCAGGAATGGGAATGGGCTAGGACGTGATCTTCGTTCTCACTAAATATCAAATACCGCTCCATAGCATCGTCCTTCACACGGAATTACAAAAAGAATAATGTGCAATATGGACTTCAGTTGAATCGGCAGAGAAGGTGAGAAAGTGCAGTTTGAAAGAAGAATCTCCTTGAAGTAGTTAAGAATGAGCAGTCATACCTGGGTGAAAGATGTTGTGCAAAAGGTTGCCCAAATAATCCAATTTCGCCTAAATTAATTCAAAACGACAACACTTTGTCACCTTTGATTATAGTCATGCTGACTTTGACCTTCACCTGTCATTAAGTGATAAAATTAAAGTGACCCTAAATCCCACCTTTCCGTCTGTGTGTAGGCTGCCCGGGGCGATGGTGCGTCGCTTGGAATGGCATCTGGATGAGGCCTTCTACGAAAAAGTGTTGCTGCCGCAACGCGACGCCTACGACGCGCTTCGCGACTCTCTGCAGGTGGACTGTCTAGCTGAGATGGGCGATCGGACGCTGACGCGACGTCTCTGCGTCCGTGCCGGCGTCTGTGCAGATGCCATGATGCAACTCGCCTTTCTGGTCAGCCTAGTTCTTCTCAATTCATCTTGTTGGTTGGGCACATTACTAGTGGAGGGCTAGAAGCAGACTTTTTAGATGAGTGGTTGAGGCGGGAATATGAACCTCATTCGCATTGAACTGGAATATTTAGTGTTCACGTCTGAGTCCCGTACTTCGTTGTGTAGATGTCCCGTATTTCAAGCATTACAACTTTAGTTGGGAGGAGGAAGGTGGTACTAAGCGACGCCAACAAAACAAAAACCGCCACGGAAACACTAAATAATTTGGGACTATTGAGAAATTCCTCTCTATGTAATGAATTTTCTCTTTCCTTAAAACAGGGGAAAGGCAGGCAAGATAAAACCGAGCATTGAATTTTGCTCTGAACTGTTTGAAAGTTTGTTTGATTAGTGAGTAGACCTATTTGCCAAAACATACTTGCCTTCAAATCTTCATTTTCACATCACGTCACTCTTGCACCAGCTCAAATGTCCTGATGAAGGTATTCAAAATAGCCAGAATTGCCTTTCGGAAGATCTAATTCTTAGAACCGAAAACAAGGGGCGTATTCTGCTTAAGTAGCTAGCCAGTGGTCACCGCAAGTGCCTATTATCCATTCAAATTTCAACCGAGTGCAGGAGTCTAGCTCAATAAACTAACCACCAGGTTGATGTTGAAAGGGTCCTGTTTTTCAATTACCCTACATAAATTCAGCCCTTGATCAGGTATTCAATTTGTTTGAAAGACAAGTCAAGCCTTACTTTTTACACTTTCGACCAGTAGTGGCAGGAATGCTAAAACTGAGAATGTGGGCTACTCGAGTTATCGTTGAAGGTGTCACGAGATACGAGGCTGGAAGTACTTTTATTACGAAGATAGGGAAGGGCAAAGCGTAATATCACCATCGGAGGGGTTGGATAACCGGAGACTGAAGCGGGCCATTTAATCGTTTGCATTGATTACCTCAATCGTTACCTAGCCAGAAATGTCTTTTCAACAAATAAGCGTGATGAAAGAGGAACTCAGAGCTATACGATCAGGCGTGCCTCCCTTGGTTAATTTTATCTCCAGGTTTTCATTTTACCAATTTGGACTTGTAAAATTAAAACAACTCGTAATATGTTATGCCCGGTTTGAAACCTTTCAGAAGGTAGTTTGCAAATGTTGCACAATTGAATAGGCCTCCACCACCAGTATCTTTCTTGCCTTCAACCCAAAACCTCACCTAGTCCACAGCTAATGTGTTTACATTAGCTCCTTCGTGTGTATGGCAATAAAAACATCATCGTTTGTCGCAAACATAGGTTGTATACCATTCTCACTGCAAGGCGACTTGATGTGCATTATCTTAGCATAAGATCAAGTCATTAAACACAAAATGTCGCATTACATATTCAAAGAATGGTTATATTTAATATCCCGATGAGAAGCAGGTTGCATGCCTACAGTATCTGCGAGATGCTGGCGCAATTAAGACTAAACCGGAGCTTTTGCATTAATAAAGGACTAGAGCTAATTTTAAGCAGTTGAAAAAGCATTTTGCTTTTCCCCTCTCTGCTCGAAGTAGGCTCTTATTCTGGCACTCGATTACTACCCGGGAAACTTTGTTGTATAAAGATTGAATCCTCCTAGGGCAGTCTGCCTCACATCGTCATGTATGCTGGCCCGACGCGGAAAGCGGTCCTCTTACAACGCACATACCGTGTGGTACCTCATTTTCAGCAGCATCCTTCTACAGCTGCAAAATTAGGGGTTCAGTTTGGTGTTAAACGCTCTCCGGTTACAAGGTTATTAGTAAATTGGTGGAGGAGGGGGTTTGTGATGCGTATTAAAAGCGCCTTTTTTCACAGTTTACGAATCATTGATTAGACTTTGGGAATCTTTGATGGGTAGGTCTCAGAATGATAGTAACCTCTCACAACGCCCTTGGAAAGTGGTGTGTCGACGGAAATCTGTGAACCAGTTGAGGCACTTTGTAGTGCACCGTATTTGACTGCATTAGCTGTCATGACTAGACAGTAAATACAGATCCCTTATCCTGACGCATTTAATTGTTTTAAATCTCACATAGTTAAGGGGCTGAAAAAGTTTTACCTTCAGCATAAATAATTTACATTTCACCACCTTTCACTACGTTGTGCTCAGCTTAAATATCCCACGTAGTTCAGTTTGCATCGAAATGGGAAATGTCCGACTAATGCACCAAGGGTACGTTTGCTAGCCCCATCCCCATCTCGTCCGACGCTTTGCAGGACGGTGAGGTTTTGAACTGTTTGCCTATGTGGTGAAAATGCGAAATGGGATTTTTTCATCCACTTCTTGTACAGCTATTAGCATTTGCACGGGTCCTTACCGCGACCACTCATTCTTAATTAGGGAAGTTTGCAAATTTGATCTTTCTGTGTTGTCGAGGTTGACCATTGTTTGACCTTTTATTTCGGTAAACTTACATGCGATAGTTGTGCGGCGAACTTGTTTTGCTCTTCCAGATCATCGTGTTTGACTTTATTCCAAAGTGCGTAGCAGGAAGTAAGTGGAACTACTCTTTTATCCTAACATCAAATCAACTTTTAATTGTGCACCGGAAGTTGGGCTAGAGTATTGCTTGCACAAATTTTTTGAGCACTTCTTCCCTATTATGCACTAAACTTTTGGTTCCAATTAAATCGTGCGAATGCCAATCTAAGGTAAATTTTTGAGTGATTGAAACCAATTTCAGGTCGGTTCGATGTTCTCCCACATTCCTCACCCCCGAAGGAGCCGATTTCATTGCTGTATGAATCACGACTTCGAGAGGGGTGAGTGGCTCCGCTGCCTTTGTCATTGAACCGTTGTTTACCGCCTCATTAAGTAATTCAGGGCAGATTTATGGAATTGGAAGCTTCAGAAGATAATTTTTTACTGGGAGTTTTTGGGGGACAATTGAGGAAGAGTATTCAACCGTTATTTCCATTACATAAAGGTTAGTTTATAAATTCGTGAATTGTAGACCAACGGAATCGGATTTTCTGTGAGAGGGCAAGTTTACCATCAGGTGAAGTAAGGTGTACCAAGTGAAGAAGGAGCAATTAACGGATGTATTGGCCTTATCTCAGCATCATACTAGTTATATTTAGCACTGTCTATCCCACTTTAAAGCTCTAGACCACTTGTAATAATTGGACTGGATCTCCTGTACTGAACCAGATGACTGGTTGTGCATTAAATAGAGGAAATTTGTCGTCTTTATCCCTGAAGACGTCATAGGACGTCTGATTTTTTGATGGCATTGAAGGTCAAAGAAGCCCACGTACTCAAATAGGTACCTAAAAAATACGCTTCTATTACATACTTCCATTTCTGTTTTAACTCTTATTCCTGGAGGTCCCTTTTATTCTTCCACGAAATTATAATTGCCCGATAGCTTTATGATGGCAGTGCTTGTGGTGCCTGAATAAAACACATCCCGGAGATATTCATTTGGAAAATAGTGCTAGACTACTTTCTTCTGTAAGCCCGTTTTCCCTGTTCATCACTTTTCCTTGGTGAATATTGTCTCAAGGCAATATAGGGAGTTCCCTTGCCCTTATGTCATGATCATGATATTGTAATTCTGGTCCTACACCATTGTTGAATAACATGCAGAATTGGATAATGGAGTAGTTATCGAGAGGCTAAAGAGAGGTTCAAAATGTCGTTTGCGGTTCTCAGCAGATTTGGCAGATGCTTTCATTTTTTCGCTTGTAAGGTTAGCGTTCGACCAGCAGAATGGGGATTGCTAATCTTTTGGACTGGATTTGAATATCACTATTATTTACGCGATGTTTATGCCATCCTTGAGGATATAATGCGGCAAACCGCTTGAAATAGGCTCATTGTCAGCGTGCAGGTCTTGAGGACTGTTGGGGAAAGTGGCATGAACAAACTGCTGTGCCACCAACGCGGTAGCTGAGCTGCTACTCTCTACATTGGTATCTAAGGGGAATATGTGCTTTTTCCTGCCTGATTGGAGTGTTTCTCTGTATCTCAGATGGCCCACGAGAAAGTGCATGGTGAAGCAGGACTGAACGGTGGTAGCACTGAATCTCACAGCACACGCACCTTTCGAGGGGGCTACACGACCTTACTTCGTCCCTTCACCATAGAAATGCGCGAATTCCTCCGCCTGTTCCGGCTCGGTGACATTGTCGGCTACCTCGACGAGGACGATCTTCTCGACGCTCTCCATTGCTGTTCCCGCGCCCATCAGAAACTCCTTCGAGAGGCCGCTGTTGCTCAAGGTGGGCGAGATAATTGGAATTAGTGCCCCCAGGCTCTAATGCACGGTGTAGCCCATTTACCATCGTCTCGTTCATGCCTAAAGTGGCAAAGAGTGGAATAGAATACAATCTAAACGAGGGGAATGTTTTTGGTAGCTGGCTCGGTTACATGGTAGAACGAATCAGCCCAAATCTACTCATCTGTCCATTCATCCAATCACCTACCCACTACTCAATGCCAAATTTATCCACCCTCCTCGGACACGTTAATCCCAGTATTATTCACATATCCTGGCTGCTGTTCGTCCACTCATTCGTCCTTTTATCTACTCACCATTAGCTTCGGGCTCTATCTAGCTCACCGATTGGTTTTAAACTATCATGTGTAGATTTGTTGCCTAAGACGTATTCGCCACTTTCTGCCGCAGCATTTATTACTTCTATTTCATGTGGTTCGTTATCAAACATGTTAAACACAAACTGCTAAAACGGAGTTTTTTTTTTACTCCATTAGCCACACCTTCACAAGACGGGCCCGACTTGGAGATGGAATCTGTAACTTACCCCTAGTTCTATGGGAGTTGCTGTTAACAGATGGGAGTTTGAGGGACGCCTTCAAAACGCTTGAAATATTGGAAAGTTATAGCGAAAGCGCGTTGCAAAGAGCGTGGTTAAGGAAGATCGTAATTTTATGTTGAAGCCATTGACGTGTTCTATGGCTGGTTTCCAACCCAGGTTACGTATTGCGAAGAATGGACGCCGGTGCCTGTAAATTGCACTGCCAAAAGATTAAACTCCCAGATGCGTAAAGTGAGGAAAAGTATCTACAAATTTAGGGATTCGAAGTTGGTCTGGGAAATGTCAAAGTAAAATGTAAATTCTTTATTTATTGCAACTATTTAATGAGGCTTTATGTCCAAACTCTATCAGCAACTCCTATTTAGGGATTCTGATTGCATCAAAACGTGTTCTCAAAAAATGACGCTTTTTTGTCAGTAGAACCATTTAACTCGTGAATCAAAACATTTTATTGTAAAAATTACTGTTTTTGATTTTAAAATTGACTCCATGCCCTAGTAAAGTTTTCTATACGATTAGAATACACAAAGATATGTGTAAAATGGATGCTGGAAGTGTAGTACCCTAGCACTCTCCGGAAGGTGAATGTGTATTGTACACGTGTACAGTGGCTGGAGGCTACCGTCGCGGCTTGGAGGCCAGGCCGCCTGGCAAGTTACAATGGTGGAGCTCCAAAGTGGTTCCTCGCCAAAACTGAGGGTCAAACAAACAGCTGAAGCATTACAGAAGCACTCTTAAACTTTTGCAGTAATTCGAAAAGTCAGGCTACATCAGGCGTTAGAGACTTTGCGACAAGCCGGTGACATGGTCGCTTTCTGTAGGCTGCGTGGTCCCTCTCGATCGGCCTAGTGACAACTCCCTGCCAATTGCACTTTCTTCCTCAGACATCGCTGGTTACATTTTCTCCAGTACCATGCCTAATTTTTTGTCATTTCCAATCATTCTATTGCGTGTTTACTGCGTTTGCAATTAAGCTCCAGCAGATGGGGGTTGTCGTTTGCGAAACGGTCGCGATAGTTGAAATGACCGCTTTTACTTTCTGCATGCATCCATAACTTCTGTGGTAATCAGCCAATCGAATACTGTGTAAAAGTGAAATAAGTAAAACCCTTTACAAGCAACTTTACGTGGTTGATTTTTTCCCACCGGGTTGCTTTCAATGTAAGCATGGTCGAGGATTCCTGTGTCGGCGCTGCCTCTTTCAGTAGCTTGTCTGCAAAAATGCACATTGTCCTTCCATATTATGAGCAGTGCTTCCCTAAACGCTTAGCGGTGTAAGTAGAGCTAAAATGATTGTATTTTTACTTTCTTTTGATCCTTGAAATGCTACAAAAATGCTTTGACATGACTACCATTCAACG